TGTTCAGGCCCCTCCTCTAGTCACCACTGTAGAGGTGCGAAGCAGATAGATATTAAGAAATTTAATAGGCTAAAGAATGTTTACTGTTCTTGTCTCTGAAGGTCAGTTAGGTATCTGTGTGTACAAAGCATAATACTTGAAATAGTTGTGTCTTTTTATGTTTGGGTTTTACAGATTGTTCATATGGATTGTCTGTCAGGCCAAACCTGCCTTTTTTCTTGTTGAATGTTGTTGCTGTTGAGTACCGTGGAGTTGGTTCTAACTCATATTTTGCTGGATGGTGGTGTTGTTGTTAAGTACTGTGGAGTTGGTTCCGATTCATAGTGGCCCTGCACAGGGTTTCCAAGGCTGTAAATATTTACGGGAGCAGAGTGCCTCATCGTTATCCCGCGGAATTGCTGGTAGTTTTGAACTGCTGACCTTGAGGTTGGCAGCCCAACTCGTAACCACTGTGCTACCAGAGCAACTATTTTTCTGGATAGGCAGGAGTAAAAGGTCCCGTACAAGTTAACTTTAGGACTGGGACCCATAGGCAGAAATCAAAAGCAGCAGCCAAAGTATTTGCCCTTGGACTGATGGGGCTCATTCTCTCTGTGCCATAGGAAAGCTGTGGTCTCAATGCTAGACTTTTTTTGGGGTGCATACCCAACCAACTGAAGGCGTCTGGGCTGGGCAAAGAAGGCACAGGGAAGAGGAGGGAAAAAATGTGTAGAATTCCCCCACACCTCCTTTTGCAAATGTCACTGTGCCACTTTTAGTGCCTGTTCCCTGTGTTGATCTGGCTGTAGCCCCGCCCTCTGACCTCCACCCAGGAGGGATGGCTGTAGAGGGAGTCCTGTGTCTTGACCTATTTCTAAATTGCAATATTTCCCTTTGTACCCTGAGTTGTCCACTGGTGGTTGCGGGCAACTGACGCCCTGACCCTTATGCTAGATCCAGAGCTCTAGTGCTGTTCCCTGAGAGCAGAGTCTCTGGGTGAAGTTTTCAGCCCCTCCTCCACGGAGCCAGGCCTACCTGATTCTGTTCTGCTGCCGCCAAACCGGAAGTCCTCATTTCACTTTTATTTTTATACTATTTTGGGTTATGCTATGGGCAGTCACTGGTTACAAATGAGATCAGTTCCTAAGTAAGTCTTTAAGTTGAATTTGTAGGTAAATTGCAACAGATGCAGTGGTTCTTATTTCGTTCTAATTGCAAGGGCAGTGGTTTGAAGCCATCAGCTGCTCTGTGGGAGATAGATGAGGCTGTCTGCTCCTCTAAGTATTTACAACCTCAGAAACCCTAAGGAACAATTCTGCTCTGTAGCATCGCTATGAGTTGGAATTGACTTGATGCTAATGGATTTTTTATTTTCCTTTTGCAGGAAAAGGCTTGTAACCTTTTTAATGATTTAAAAGCTGCAGGTGCAGCCTGTGAAGGTGATGATTGTCTTGAGTAGGGCTTGATTCCATTGTTTCACAGTGAGGGCAAATTTCATAATATTAATGGGCAACATCTGGTGTGGCTCTGTAGTAACGGCAATGGATTGCAAACAAGAAGATCGAAAGTTCAAACCCACCAGCTACTCCTCGGAAAACCCTATACAGTATTGCTATGAGTTTTAACCACCTCGATGGCACTTTAGGACAACAACAAAAAGGGCAACTAGGAGTTGTCTAGGAGCCCTGGTAGTGGTTGCCTGTTGGGCTGCTAATAATACCAAGATGAGCAGTTTGAATCTGCCAGGCACTGTGTAGGAGAGAGATGTGATTTTTCTGCTTCTATAAAGATTTATAGCCTTGAAAATCCTATACAGGGTCACTGTGAGTTGGAATCCACTCCATAGCCCTCCACCACTACTGCCAGGAGTTGTCCATAAATTGGAGGTTTGTAACCTGGGTACTTCCTATACTAAAGAAACACTATTATAATGGGAGAAAGAGTGTAGGGAATCCCAGAGATGCAAGGATGGTCCAGCATAAAAACAGTGTAGTAGACCACATGAATAGAACAAGAGGAACAAAAACATAGTTATCTCAGTTGATGCAGAAAAAGCATTTGACAAAATCTTAACACTGTCTCATGATAAAAACACACAACTAACTAGGAACAGAAAATTTTCAACATCATAAAGGTCAGTAGTGAAAAATCCACAGCTAACAGTGTGTTCAACTTTTTTGTTGTTCAGTTGTAGCAATTCCTTATGCAACCTATATATTAAATCCTCTTCAGTTGTTGTTAGGTACCATTGAGTCGGTACTGACTCATAGCAACCCTATGCCCAACAAAATGAAACACTGCCTGGTCCTGGGCCAACGTCATAAGTGTTGCTATGCCTCTTCAGTTAGATGGTTTTTTTTGTTATTACTAGGTGCTGTTGAGTCGATTCCGACTCATAAGGATCCTATGCACAAAACACAAAACACTGCCCAGTCCTGCAGCAAGCCCATTGCTGCTGACACTGTGTCAATCCATCTTGCTTGGGGTCTTCCTCTTTTTCATTGACCCTCCAGTTTACCAAATTTTTGTTTTTTTAAAAGAGAATTTTACCTTTTCCAGAGACAGTGAGTACATTTTCAGGTAGCTGAAAAGTATGTTGTTAAGTGCTGTCTACTCGGTTCCAACTCATAATGATCTGGTATAAGATTTCCTAGGAGCGGCTGGTCGGTTTGAACAGCCAAACTGTGGCTAACGTTCCTGTGTTTATCTACAGAACCGCAGCAAACTAGGAATCTAACCTTTACTTTTGGGTCCCAGTGACACATGACAAAGTGAAATATCCATTTTATACTTACTTTTCGGTCAACATAATTTTTATCACACTGTTACTTAATACCGTCAAAAATTTGATTGAGCAATTTAATATTTAAAGTTTTTATTTTTGTCCCCTAGAGGATCTGCAATCTTTGTTTTGGAGTGAAGCTAAACTCTGGGTCTGTAGTAGTTACCTGTAGAGCTTTAAATAGTGAATAAGAACTTCTAAGATGTGGAGCCTGGTAATAGGTACTTTTCACAGGTGTAAGAATACTGCTGCCTATAAAGATTCTTATACAGGTACATATATCCCAAAGCCTTGTATACAATGAAAGCGTTTTTATGTTTTCTCTAAGTGAAAGTTCTGACTGTAGATTAGTTTTATTTGCTTGTAACAAGTATTTTCTTAATGGTTCACTATGATGCTATAGCATAACAACTGGACTGCTAACCTCAAGCAGTCCATTTCAAACCCAGGAATCGTGCCCCAGAATCCTCTACAGGATTGCTGTGAGGCTGCGCCAGCTTGATGGCACTTAACAACAACATTTGCAGTGGGTTGCCGTGAGTTGGAATCTACTTGACAGAAATGAGTTTTGATATGTATTTTTACTGTGCACATTCTCAACACCTAGCAAAGTTAAATGGTGTAGAAATTCAGTGTATGAGATGGGGTGAGGGAAATGAGAGCTATGGGTGGAGAGTGGGACTGTGAAAGGTCATTTTTGTGGTAGGAAGCAGTTAAGACTTTTTCCTTCAGAAGGGACATGGAATTTTTCAATCAGGAGAACAATATGACCAAGTTATTGTTTTAAAGGAAGGTAATCTTGTCAGCTGTGTGGGGCAGAGATTCGCATGGAGGAGAACACTATGTCAGGGAGAACATTTGGGAAGTAAGTCAGTGCAAGAAGCAATGAGGAAGGAGCAGTAGAGATAGAGTAGGGTTGAATAGCCTTTCAGTTCACCCCATAAGTCAAAATGACCCCTTATTTCAAGAATCAACTCAAATTGTAAAGGCTCTACTGAGAGAAGCGTTCCCTGACAGTTTTCTTTTTCTTTTAGCTTCTTCTTCTGATGAGCTTGATAGTATGATCTTTTATAGTACGTTCCTTTTTTTTTTTGGTCTTTCATTCTATGTCTTATTTATCTTATGTTGATATGTCACAAAGTAGTTTTGAACAGTTGTCCCTTAGACATGCCATACTTGGTTTTTCCCTTTGGATTTTTGTGTCTTTGCTCTTGGTCTTTCTCTTTTTTGGAATGTTTTCATTTCTCTTCTCTACATACATTTTGAATTTTTAACCTTTTTTTCTTAGCTCAGTCCAAATTCCATCTCTTCCATGATGCTCTCTGTGATGGCTCCACTATGGTCATTTCTCCCTTTGAACTGTGTAAGCTGTGTACTGCTTAGTTTCTGTTAACTAGTGGTTTATATCTTTATTTTTTATGTGAATATGGATACTTTGCCTCTCTGAGTTGGGCAGGGTGTTTTATACATCAGTGCATGTGTTGTTGTTAAGTGTTGCCAAATCAGTTCCGATTCACAGCAACCCTGTACAAGATTTCCAAGGAGCAGTTGGTGGATTTGAACCACTTACCATGTAGTGCACAGTCCGGTGTTGATCCTGCTGCACCACACCAGGAGTTCCTATGTAGCAGGCCCTTAATAAGTATCAATAATCGTAGTCATTTGCCTCTTTATAAGTCTTCCTAGAAAAAAACTTAGGTTATATTTATAGTTTATTTTGCTTTTGAGAACATAGTACTTTGGTTTAAAAATAACATACATATTTAGTAATTTTAATTATTTGAAGTTAGAACAAAACAACTTATTGTTATGCATAATTTACACAGGCCAAAAGGAAGAGAAAGTGAAAGAATCAGATCTCATTGAAATAACATATTTTAAAGTTGACAGTTAATATTTCACTGTAAACTCCCCTAGAAGAGTTATATTGAAAATGCTTTTGTTAAGAAATATATATTTTCATTTTTCCTTTATGTTAGATTTGGGAGTCACTCAGAACAAATGGACCTTCTTTAGTTTGTAATCCTGTTAAATTTCATCCATGGATTAAAGCCTAATCATATATATTTGGTGAGCCTTAGATAAACACAGTTTGACCTCCAACAGATGTTTACTTACTAAGTTTACTTATTAGAACATTATGAAATGCAGTAAACACTTTGTATTGAGGTTAAGAAAAAGTTATTTAGGGATTAACTACATTTAATTGTGTTTGTGTTTTTTATTTTTATTTTTTTAGCCCATATGTTGTGAAGTACTATGGCAGTTACTTTAAAAACACAGACCTCTGGATTGTCATGGAGTACTGTGGAGCTGGCTCTGTCTCAGACATAATTAGGTTACGAAATAAAACAGTAAGTATTTACAAATTATTTGGTTAATCTCATTTCTAAAGACTCAAGTTTAGAATATGAGTGAGTAGTTTTTGTTACAAAGGAAATATTAGTGTGAAAAAGAAAAGTTTTTACAGAGGATTGTGTATGAAATATGAAAGTCTACTACGTTATCTTTTTATTTGTGACAAATTTAGAAGCCACATGATAGTTTATTGTATTTATTAGGATAAATTTTAGGAAATCATCGAGAAACTCCCTTTGTTGGCATCAGTATGTATGTAGTGCTTATGACTGTGAGTTCAAGAAATTGCATTTGAAATCTTACTTAAATTAGTAATATTCATGGTTATTTCTTCATCTTAAATTTTCTGTGACTTGTAAACAATTGAAGAAAATTACACACTTTTAGTTTTAAAAAGAACAAAAATTTTTTTGTACTTATTTTTGCAAATATTACAAGAAAATATATGATACAGCTAGATTATATATATTTGTGTGGGTATGTATGTACATTGCTGTTGTTATTATGTTATTAAGTGCCATCAAGTTGGTTCCAACTCATAGCAATCCTTTATAGGGTTTCTGAGGAGCGAATGGTGAGTTTGAACCACCGACCTTGTGGTTCAAACTGACCTTGCAGTCTTGCACTTATCCTACAGTGCCACACCACGATTCCATGTATGTGCGCATATATATATATATATGTGTGTGTGTGTGTATGTTTATATATGTCAGCTTAGTAAATGTTATTTAACCTAAAGCTTTTTTATCGGTTATGTTATAATCCCAAATAAAAGAGTCATTTATAAAATTGTTACTTTAGATTAATAATGGTAGTGGTGCTGTTTATATGCCGTGGAATCGGTTCCAAGTCATAGCGACCCTGTATAGGTTTTCTGGGGCTGTAAATCTTTACAGGAACAGAAAGCCTCATCTATTTCCTGGGGAATGACTGGTAGTTTCAAACTGCTGACTTTGAGGTTAGCAGCTCACTTATAACCACTATGCTGCATCTAGTTTATGTGATTTATAGGGACAAAATTCATCTTTTTGTATGTTAACTACTAAAAAGAATAATCAGGGAAGTAATTTGTAATTCTGTAGAACACTAGCACAATTACTATATGGCATTATTATATGTTGTCAGACATGTTTCAGTAAAATACATTCAGAAAAACACTTAACTACTTGAGTCAAATTTGTGGTTAACCGGAATCACTTTAAAGTTTGATTGGGGAAGTACATTGTAAGTCTATCCTACTAATTTTTTTTTTTTTTTTCTGTTAGAGGAATTAAAGTAAATAAGATTGCTTTGCAAGGAAGTGAAACAAAATAATCTTTGTTTTGACAGAATGGATTAAGTTATCTGTGACATTCTAATTATATATTTTAGAGTTTTTATGGTGCTTAACTAGCATTTATGTAAATAAGATGACTCTTTGAGTGGCTGAAGAATGCTTAATTGAAAATAATTATATGCTAGTTTGAAAAATGTTTAAACACCCTGTTGGTGGGAGACTCAGTGCAGTTGTACTTTATATATGAAAGGAAAAATTTAAATATATCTCCATGTAAAAAAAAAATTCAATGTTATATTTTGAGTGAGTGGTGGTGTTGTTAAGTGCTATTCAGTTTCCAGAAAACAAAACAAACCTGTTAATCTTCATGTGGATTTTGACTCATAGCGACCCTAAAGATAGAATAACCCTCATAGTTATAAAAAATTAATGTTGGTAAGTGCTTTCGAGTCGGTTTGACTCATAGCGACCCTATGTAGGGCTTCGAAGGAGCGACTGGTGAGTTTGAACTGCCAACCTTGCAGTTTAAACCGACCTTGTGGTCCAGTGCTTATCCTACCATACCTCACCAGGACTCCAAAAAAATAGTGTAAAAATATGACTAATAAAATTTATTTTTTGGTGGCTATTTTGAAATTGCTGCTAAAAATAGTAAAATATAGGCTGAGAACAACCACATTAGTGCTCAAGTAGACTCCGAGATAGATTTTTCCTCACAAAGAAGTCCTGTTAGGACCTGAGAATTTCAGCTTAGTTCACTTGATTTAAACATCTATCACAAGCATTTAAAAGTTTTCTTTCTCAAAAGAATAGACAGATCTGATTATATTATTAGGAACATTCCTTGTTTTTTTTTAATGTTTTATTGTGAATTATGTGATAGTTTACATGGGAGAACATTAGTTTTACATTCATTCTATTGTATATCGTTTCACTGCCATGGTTACAATCCCCTCCATGCAATCCTTCCCCGAGCCCCCCAGGTCTTCAGCACACAGTCGCTCTTCCTCTCTAGATCTAAAGTCCCCAGCTGCTCCATCTCTCCACGTTATCATCACTGCTTTTCTGGGTAGGGTCCTGCTCTCCGCTCTTCTCCGTTGATGGTCCTAGGGACCTCTGCTCCTAGACTGGAAAGTTAATCACTCCCCTCCTTGCTATAAGACGTCTACCTTTACATTTCCAACCCTCACAATCAGTCCTGATTACAATCATTCACTACTGTATCACAAGAGACCCATCCACATTTCATTTCATCAGCCCCACCTAGACAGATTGGCTACTACTCATTGGAGATTCTACCTTCCTCCAGGCCCTCTGGATCTAGGGAACATTCCTTTTTGAATTTTGATTTGCTTAGTATCATTTACGTATGTTGAACCTGTCACCACTTTAGAAAGGAAACAAAATGAGGTGATGGTTGAGAGAGTTGACAAATGGGTCTCTTAGATTTTATGCTAGTTGTGAGAAAAAGGAATATTTGGAAACCTATCTGATTAACATACTTTTTTTGTGGAATTATGCTTCCATTTGAAAGAAGTCTCATTAGGCATGAAGGGTTGTTGATTTTCAGTTATTAACTGCTGTCTGTTTTTAATCACAAGTTCCTAAAATTAAAGGTACAGTAACAAACAAATCTGATGGTTAAATACTTGTTATATCTGACCTCCCTTCTGCCTGTACAGTTTCACAATTTGTCACTGCTTCATCATGCACTTTAGACTCCAGTCTCACAGTAAGAACTGACTCCCAGATTAAGAGCTGAATTTATGATTGGGTATTTTCACCCATACATTATTGCATTGCCCTTTCTCCTATATTGGAGTGCTCCCCTACCCCATTCTTTGTGTAGACTGTTGTCTATTAAGTAGCTGGTTGATTTATTAGTAAGGTAAGTCTTTATTGCATTTTCACTGACATAAAGAAAGAGCACAATAAATGTTAGCTGCTACTACTATTATTAATATTATTATTTTGCTTATTTTGACTGCTGGGGAGGCTTTTCATTTTTGTTTTGTGTCTTGGCTTTTTTGTGAGTTGCCTGTTATATATATAATTTGCCTTTTTTCTTGTTCTTGGCCTGTTCCTTATCACTTTGCAGGATACTTGAGAGTCTACTAATAGTTATATGAACACTTCCCATAATTTAAATTTCTCAAACTAAAGATCTGATTGTCAGCATAGCTATTAAAGGTGATTGAAGACCCTCTTAGAGGTTTATACCCTGAGTTGTATGATGACAGAGAACTAAGTTTGGGGTTTAATTAGGAGTTTTCCAGTGAGATGAACCAGGAAGGTGAACATCTAAAGGTAGGAATATTGAGCTGCTTAACATTGGACAGATTTCAGGGTCGGCAGTTGAAATGGTGATGATTGATAATGTGGTGATGGTAGTTATTCTAGAGGGACCAGTGGATCAAGGTGAAACTCTTCTGTATGTCAGTGGGTGATAATATTTTCTACTGAGTTTCTTGGTTGCATTATGAGTAAAAATCATGATTCAGTTAATATTAATTGAGCCGTTTGGATTTATAAGTATTTGGGGAAACTGTAGAGAAGTATGTGAGTTGATTCCTGATTCCATAGTCAGTCCTGGTGACATAAAAATGCAGTAACTGGCTTTTGGTAGTATTTTGAACCACTTTTTAGTTTGATGATGTTTCTTTGTAGATAACCCAGTTACAGTATTCAGTACTCAGAAAATCATGTTTAATTTTATTAGTCACTTTTTAGTGTTCGGGAGAAGAGTGGTTGCCTTGGTCAGCTGTAATCTTTTCGATGCCAGGGATTTGTATATATTCATTTTGGGCATGTTCCAAATGCTAGAACAGCTCCTGGCACATAGCAAGCCTGTGAATATATAATGACTTATCCATCTATTTAGTATAACATTTTTGTGGATGAGTTGTAAGTTGCATGGCTACTATTATTTGGAATTAACAAGGTGTATTGAAAGGAGCTCTGGTAGCGTAGTGGTTACGAATCGGGCTGCGAACCTTAAGGCCAGCAGTTC